CTCGACCGAAGACTGCCTTCATCACACCCGACGGCTTGTACGAATTCAACGTCATGCCGTTTGGTCTGTGTAATGCACCTGCGACATTTGAGCGCATGATGGACACCGTACTGCGCAACTTGAAATGGCACACGTGCTTGTGTTACCTCGATGACGTTGTTGTCTTCGCTCCAGATTTCTCCACCCATCTCCAACGTCTAAAAGAAGTTTTCGCACGTGTGAGCAATGCCGGCTTGCAACTAAATCTGAAGAAGTGCCGCTTTGCAGCACGCCAACTCACCATCCTAGGGTACGTCGTGTCCAAGGATGGCATTCTTCCTGACCCAGCCAAGCTTCGGGCCGTGGCCGAATTCCCAAAACCTGCGTCCGTCAAAGAACTGCGTAGTTTCGTGGGCCTGTGCTCATACTTCCGACGCTTTATACGAAACTTCGCCACGATTATATCACCGCTGACGAAGCTCCTCGGAAGTAACGGGCCCCTCAATTCGTGGTCGTCAGAGTGCGACAACGCATTCTTGAAGCTCCGCCACTTGTTGACGTCTCCTCCCATTCTCCGCCACTATGACCCTACGGCCCCAACAGAAGTGCACACGGACGCCAGTGGTGTAGGCCTCGGCGCTGTTCTGGCGCAGCGCAAACCCGGGTTCCCTGATTATGTTGTGGCATATGCAAGCCGTACGCTCACAAGAGCCGAGACAAACTACACCGTCACGGAAAAAGAGTGCCTGGCGATCGTCTGGGCTCTTACAAAGTTTCGACCTTGTTTGTATGGTCGCCCATTCGATGTCGTCACTGACCATCATGCACTATGCTGGCTGTCATCATTGAAGGATCCCTCAGGCCGCCTCGCCCGTTGGGCTCTTCGCTTACAAGACTACGACATCCGCGTCCTCTACCGCAACGGACGCCAGCATGCTGACGCCGACGCCCTCTCGCGCTCCCCTCTGCCTGAAGCTAACGTGCTCTGCTCAGTATCCTCGGTTGTTGTTTCTGCCATTGATGTCGACATCATCGCTACCGAACAGCGAAAGGATAATTGGATCGCCCAACTGATCGACTTGCTCTCTGATCCGTCCGCAACGCCATCCACGCGTGCCTTGCGTCGTCGAGCTCACCATTTCGCCATTCGTGACGGCCTCCTACACCGACGCAATTACGACGCCGATGGCCGGCAGTGGCTACTCGTGATACCCCGCAGTCTGCGGTCGGAGATATGTGAATCCTTCCATTCTGATCCACAGTGCGCGCACTCTGGGGTATTCAAAACCTACCATCGCATTAGACAACGCTACTTCTGGCGCGGGATGTACCGCTACGTCCAGCAGTTCGTTCGCTCCTGTCTCGCTTGCCAACGCCGCAAACCGTCCGCACACAAGTCACCAGCCGGTCTGCAACCGCTACCTTGCCCTGACCGTCCGTTTGGGCGCAGAGGTATCGATTTGTACGGACCACTTCCTCTGACGTCCACTGGCAACCGCTGGGCCATCGTCGCCGTAGATCATTTAACGCGATACGCCGAAACCGCCGCTCTCCCTGCGGCTACTGCGCGTGATGTTGCGTCCTTCCTACTACATCGATTTATATTGCGCCACGGTCCACCCCAGGAGCTTCTCAGCGATCGAGGCCGTGTCTTCTTGTCAGAAGTCGTCGATGCCATTCTCACTGAGTGCCATTCTGTCCGTCGCAAAACTACTGCTTACCACCCGCAGACGAATGGTCTGACCGAACGCTTTAACCGCACCCTCGGCGACATGCTGTCGATGTACGTCGCCGCCAACCACACGAATTGGGATACCATACTGCCCTTCGTCACTTACGCCTACAACACCGCCCCTCAGAGCACGACTGGTTTTTCACCTTTCTTTTTGCTGTACGGAAGGCACCCGTCACACACCATCGACACGATACTCCCGTACACGCCGGATCCATCTGAGTGTACACCTATTTCCGAGACCGCCAGGCTTGCTGAAGAGTGTCGCGAGCTTGCCAAGACTTTTACGACGCATGAGCAAGAGCGGCAGAAGAGTATTCGTGATGGCTCCGCCACTTCTGAGCCCACCTTCCTTCCTGGTTCCCTTGTATGGCTCTCAATCCCGACCTCTGTAGCTGGCCTTTCTTCCAAACTACTCCCGAAATATGAAGGTCCCTACCGTGTGATCGAGCGCACATCTCCGGTCAACTATCTTATCGAGCCAATTGAACAATCTTCGGACATGCGCCGCCGCGGGCGCGACATAGTCAACGTGGAGCGTCTGAAGGCTTACTATGACCCGCTCGTAGTGACAAGCTGTTAGGTCGCCAGGCGGCTCCCTCTTCGACCCCGGGGTAATTGTACAGAAGCCGCCGAACACTGAAGTGGGTTGAACTCTTATGTGCTTTCTTGTGGGTCTGCCCAAAGAGAACGCCGCTCGCGCGGAGACCCCGTGTTTTGGCCGTTACTGTCGCCATTGTGTAGACTCGCTGTGTGCCGGCTAATAAACGCCATAACAATATATATATATATATATATAGCCATGTAATTTATTGTATAGTATGCATGCTGGAAAGGGAAGAAGGGTTGAGTAGAGGGGACAGGAGGAGGAGAGAGAGTAAGGCATAGCATAGCCGTGTAGAGTACAGTATAACAAAAGGGTGAAAAAAGGAGTGAGCGTGAGGAGTAAAAAACGTGAGAGTGAGGAAGAAAAGGAGGGTGAGGGTGAAGCATGCGGAACGTTTCTCGTTTAAACGTTTTCGTTCTATTGCTCATACGCGCATAGACCGTCTGCAATGGGAAATAGAGTGTGACAGCATATCATAGATATGGTTACTTCGACTGCTGGCGGCATGTAACTTATATGCACCATTTCACGGGTGTGTTTCGGTGCCTTTAACACATATATACTCTGCAGAGTATATATGTGTTAAAGGCGCCAAAACACACCCGTGAAACACACCTGTCAAGATTTAGCATGCTAAATCTTAAACAACTATACTCTGCTTCATAAATCAAGTAAAACACTCCACAGCCTCATTAGACTTCTTACAGTAAGTGCGCTTGCACCAAAAAGCAGTTCGATGCCTTAATCGACCAGAACGTGCTTCTTTTTCCTTAATTTAGGCTAAGTAATGCAGGCAGGTGTTTTGTGTTTTAGAAACAAACTCCGTTCTACGGCTATCATTATTAAACTGATCACAGCAAACGGTTAGACAACAAACGCAGGAGACGAGGACCGGCGCTATCAATTTGTTGTCGCGCATTACCGAACGTTTGGTTGTTTTTCCTTTCTGATATTTTATTTGTGAACACGACGCCTTGCGCGTGGGCTCGTGGTTTGCTCGCACAGCATTTACAATGACTGAATCGACGACGAGACATGCGGAAATAAACATCTTGCTGGCAGAACTTGCTGCGTAGCTTCCGCAGCATTGCACCTGATGTGTGATACACTGGACGTAAACGAATTGTGCAGACGCAGACGCGTGAAATAAAAAAAAAAGCTCGGTGGATACGTTTGACGTTTCGTGACCTGATTAATTCACGTCACTAGTCACGAACTTTTTCGGGTCTTGTTAAGAGTAATTTAAGCTAACGTCACCAAGTTCGAAATTTGAAGCACGCATCTCCTATATGTGGCGATAAAGAAATGAAATACTACAGCAGAAGAGACTCTGATATATTGCAGCTCGCGATAAATACTGGGGCCACAAGTTTCTGCTTCGCTGGTATGGACTGCTTGGTTTATTTCTTTTAACTGCGGAGCAGCTTAATGGATTACCCCGTCATCGTCTCATGTCTAGCATTGGCATCACGCGGGTTTCATGTTTGATACAATACAAATCAAGGGAGAGAGATATAGCTTAACGAAGAGCTGGAGATGTTTGCCTGGCTTTTCGCCTTTTATGCTACTCTATAGGTGCCGGATAACAAACCATGGGGAAACGCAAGACACCGCAAGAAGAAAATGACGGTGCAGGCTGGCACTCGATCTTGACTTCAAAATTCTAGGCATGCGTCTTCAGGTCCAAAATGAAGGCTCAAGGAACCCGAAAACGGCAGCTGCTTGTTAAGGGGGGCGTCCCACACATTATATGGTGGGAGATCACACGAGTCTTGCACGAAGCGGCGGCGATGACACCCGAACATGACGACTCTTGCTGTCGGGAAAATTGAACGCGAAGACATTTGCCCATTGATATGATATGATATGTTATGATATGATATGATATGATATGATATGATTTGCCCATTGTACATGATAACAAGGTGTTAGACTCGGCTAGTTGGTAAATTGTCGAAATCAAGCGGGGAAACAAAACACAGCCATGTATCCATTTCAACTTTGTATTATAAGGTGTTTTTTTTTTAACTGAAAAACGAACTGCGTGCTTTCAGGGGTGTCAGTCACTGCCACGCGCTCTCTGAGCTTTTCATCGTAGTCTTCCAGTTGCTCCTACGATACGGGCTCTCTTCCCCACTACAATATCTATTTTGACAATTACCCAGTCCAACGCCCTGATGCATATAACCCAGGCAGGCTGCTCATTTGTGTGTAACGCTACCACGCGCTTAGTCATGAACGCCAGCTTCGCCGAAGGGCAAATTCGTCTGTCAGAGCCAGCGAAAAGCCAGCGTCAGGAGTTAGCAGCACCACGCTCGAAGAAGCAAACAGCAGAAAAACCGTACAAAGGCGAACATAGCGAAGAACTTTTATAGTAATCGCAAAACAAATAGCAAAACCTCAGGAATGTGATGGGGAAGGGTATAAAATAACAGATAATCATACTAAAACAGAACAAAAAACACAAAAGAGCGAAACACAGGAAAACGTCGAAAATAATATAATAAGGCAGATACCCCTGCTGCAGCGCCTTCGGACTAAGCGGGGTAATCATTGAATAAAGAATAAAGAATAAAGCACAGCATACACACATATACATGCGATTAAATGCTCTACAGTGCGTGCAGCTTTCACTTGGCGTGGAAATCGCTTTCGATTTTAGCTAACGGAAAGCTTACACACTGTTGTCCCTTTAGCCGCTGGCTCGAAAATCGGACACGTTGACCAAGGTTCGGGCGAACTAGGCCTCCGTTTCCGACGAGATTGCCATCGAGAATGAAGAGCGCAAGTCGACGAGCGCGTTCTATACAACTTACCTTGCACAACAATCAGCAGGAGAGCGGGCCTCGAAAGCATATCTCAAAGGTTGCGACTCCGCTTGGCACCGGCGCATCTGCAGTGAATGAACGCTAAGCGGCATGCCATTCCTCTGTCTGCGTGGGACGCATCTGTCTGCGGCATATTTACGACCGCGTCCGTTATTTGCATCTTCGTACATCTCGAGATGCATGTCGCGAATAGAGCATAAAGGGGTAGTTTCCAGTTTCCAGGGGTTTCCTCGGCGAGACGCGCTATTCGAAGGCCATCCTTCGGGATACTCGTCCAAAAGACGCACTAAGAACTTGTAAGTAAAGAGGGAAAGGAGACGCAGATAGATGAAAGGGAACTGGAACGCGTCAGATATGTGCTCTGCCGCCTCACTATAGTCAATCCTATATGCAGTGATGATTCAACACGCCCATGTCAATGCCTGTCGGTCATTCTCGTATTCAAAAGGCTTTGCTAAGCAATAAGCTCTCGTATACCCTTTTTTCTTCGAGTAATTTGATTTGATTGTTCTGTCCCTTATACCAACGACAAGTTGTAGGAGTCATAACGTCAAATGTTCGAGATGTCTACTGCATTCAACTATTGCTCAGTGCAAGCCGCCAGACCTCTCAGTATTTTTGCTATTTTTATGCTCCGTTTCTCTGCGTAATTATGTCGTGATAAATCTGTACTGAAGCTGATACTCATGCAGTCATCAGGAACAGCAATTTCGTCTGCTTCGTACGGGTGACAGTACGCTATACGCTATAGCCATGAACATCGTAAATACATGCACTCTAGTGACACACACACACACACACACACACACACACACACACACACACACACACACACACACACACACACACACACACACACACACGCACAAACACACACAAACACGCACACACACTCACTCACACACTCACTCACACACACACACAAAAAAAGAATTATTTCTATGAATGTACGCGCACGGCTCTCCGAGCTTTTCCCGCGATTTTCAAATTGCATTTAACACTCAAACTGTCTTCATTGTGATAGTCAGCAGCGACGTACGTCACGTTCTGGGGCACTGCGGGGCAAATTATAATGCTAAAGAAATATTTGTTTATTTATTTATTTATTTATTTATTTATTTATTTATTTATTGATTGATTGATTGATTGATTTATTTATTTATTTATTTATTTATTTTTGCTTGATCTCTTTGAATTCGTGTCGTTCAATCTTCGAATCACGGATTCGAAACTAATTCTCCAATTTGTGACAACCCGTAGAGCTTGATGGTTGGAGACGGCACAAGCGGAGTGTTAGCTTCCTAAGCCCACTTCGGTAATGAACGCCGGCGATATTTTTCATATTGGCACAGCGCAGAGACGAATCGCGAAGAATTCTGAACGACACGAGCTTACGAACGCAAGCCAACTGAAGCTTATGACTCTCCCTTTTGCTCGCGATCTTTATTCCCTGCATTCACAAGCTACGGCCAAGGTTCACGCTGTTTCGACGGTTCTCCCAGAATCTTGGCGAGCAGCACCCGATCCTTTCATTTTATACGCGTCGCGGGCGCGATTAATAATCAATATATACTCTAATGCTGTTTCACGAACACACTTCACTGGTACATCCAAACGTATACGTGGAAACAGCGTGGTCTCTCTGCCGATTCGCGAGGAACTAAGAGAGAAAAAAACACGTAAACACAGTTTGTATAAACTTACCGAGTATGCTCCGCATGGATGCACATATACGCGTCAATGCGCTCGTGACACAAAAGAAGCGCGCCAACTGCACACGTCGATGAGCCTCAAGCCTCGGAGTTCCCGCGCATAGACCGTAAATTATTTTCTCTTCAACTCAGGTCTCAAGCCCGAGCCTCTTTTGTGGCGGCGTTGAGGAAGTTGACAGCGTCAAAGAAGGCTCGTTGCTATACGACCGTTCCTGTAACGTGCTTTCGGAGAGAGGTCCCCGAAGTCTCAAGCAGCGGATGAGAAACGACGTGACTATGCGGTTCTGAAAGGATATCCCAATTGAGTACACATATAAGTTGCGTATACGCCTTTGAAAGCTTCATTATTGAAACAGGACATTAAGTTTATTTGCATAGGTCCATCTTTTTTTTTTGTTAACACGCACAGTATAGTTTTATCGACCAGCTCTCACAGTAGAGTACTCTTCACGAAATGCCCCCCCCCCCCCCTTATGCTTCCCGTTTCTACGTTTTTAAAAGTGCCCTGCCATGTACGTGTTATGGTTTTATGAGCGTTTTTAAATATGAGCGTCGTTGATTAGCACGACGTATTTTGTCACCTTGCGCATTGATTCGGGTGAAAGCATTTTTGTTGACTAACCAGATGGATTACTTCGGCCTCATTACGATTGACATTTACGTTGCTGACATTTACAGCGGGCGACCACTCGGCCCCCGTGGCTCAGGAAAATCAAAGCGCACACGTGTCTGTTACACGTATTCATTGGAATCGACTGCGTGGACCCACTTTATGCAGCATGTGATTAACTTTACGCCCGGTGACGTTAACCACCATGCGATGTCAGTGCGACATATTATTAAGTAGTGGCTGACATTGTATGACAAACTTGCCTTAGGCATCTGCCACCGACAAATTTATGAATTTCCAGGCAAGCAATTATTCTTGTAACATTACAGGGGAGGCTATTAAAGTTTACTGTGACTTATTTTATACACCATCGGATATGCAAGGTGAGTAGCGTAATTGACGGAACCACAAGTTTACGACAATGCTGCAGTATTTCTTCGTGCAAACGTTGGCATTCAACCATTCAACATTCCGTGACACTGTAGCATGTTTCTACCCTCTTGCGATACGAGTGATACATCTGCATATGAGCTCATTAGAAGGCTTGTAGTTTGAGAACCACCTTCACATAGGGCTTTAACAAGTACACTATTTTCGGTATCAATGCTTTCTTTTTTGTCTGCTTGCTCGTTTGTCCGTTTGCTTGCTTGCCTGTTTGTTTGTTTGTTTGTTTGTCTGTTTGTTAGTTTGTTTGTTTGTTCGTTCGTTTCTTTGTTTGTTCAAACTACTTACCATTGTTTTCTTTGCCCGTTCACCACCTGCCGTGGAAAGGCCGTTATGGATCTCTACTGGTTATTTCTGCACAATCTACAAATGTAGGCTTCAAGAAGCCATGACACGGTCACCCACTAAATTGTGGTTTTCAGCTAAACATAGATACAGAGGGTCTATTCTACCTGTACATATATGAAAAAAATTACTGCAAAAATACATATCATTGCAAAATGAGCCCTAAATATCGCCGGCTAAAATACCCCGCCCACCGTTGGTGACTGCCAATTTACCTTGGCGTGTGTGACGTCATGTCCTTCATAAGTGATTGATTGATTGATTTGTGGGGTTTAACGTCCCAAAACCACCACATGATCATGAGAGACGCCGTAGTGGAGGGCTCCGGAGATTTCGACCACCTGGGGTTCTTTAACGTGCACCCAAATCTGAGCACACGGGCCTACAACATTTCCGCCTCCATTCCTTCATAAGTGGAGCCATCGTCTTCGACTCAAGTTTCAGCCGATGCAGATCGTTCAGTACTGAATGCGAAAGTCAAGCAACCTTTATTAGATACACTGTACTCTCAGCTGACTACAAAACGAAATCACCGGCTGGCCTGAATACATCATTATCATCATCAGCATGACTACGCCCACTGCAGGGCAAAGGCCTCTCCCATAATACTCCAATCAATACGTTCTTGTGATTTCTGCTGCCAAGTTATACCTGCGAACTTTTTAATCTCATCAGCTCACCTAACTTTCCGTCTCCCCCTCGTGCGTTTGCCTTCGATGGAAATCCAGTCAGTTGTCCTCAATGACCAGTGGTTACCCTGCCTACGTGCTACATAACCGGCCCATGTCAAGTTCTTCTTCTTGATTTCAACTATGATATCCTTAACCTCAGTTTGTTCCCTGACCCACTCTGCTCTATACTTGTCTCTCAAGAATACACCTATCATTTTCCTTTCCATCACTCACTGTGTCGTCCTTTTTTAAGCTGAACCCTCTTTGTAAGCCTCCAGCTTTCTGCTCCGTGGGTAAATACCGGCCAGATGCAGCCGTAGCAGATTACCATTCACGATCTGAGAATGCTTGCCCAATGGGATCTACCCCATTCTGATACTTCTAGTTATTTCACTTTCATGGTATGGCTCTGTGGTTTCTACCTGTCCTAAGTACACATATTTCTTTACAGCTTCCAGCGTCTCTGCACATATCGCAAAACGCTGGTTTCTGCCAAGACTGCAGCACATTGCTTTAGTTTTGTGCATATAATTCTCAGACCTACTTTTCTGCTTTCCGGGTCCAGCTCAGCAATCATAAACTGTAATTCGTCCCCTGAGTTACTCATCAAGGCAATGTCATCAGCGAATCGCAAGGTTCTAAAATGCTCTTCATTAACTCTTATACCTAACTCTTCCCAATATAGGGCCCTAAAGAGGGCCGGAATACAGACAGTTGCAAAGCAAGCAGCCTGTTACGTCACGACTCGCAAGTGCACCAGTGTTGTCGGACTATTGGGTCACTCGCCTCGTGTTTATAAAAATGATCGTTACAAGTCAAGTTCTTGACCAAATGCACTGAAATTTTGTCAGCTTGTTCGCGAACACCCAAGGGTTAACTCACATAACACATATTACGACCGAAAACTAGTGCGATAACTCCTTTAATGTATTTAAAGTATCAGAGATAGGCGCATCAAAATTATGCTCTACAAACAGCAGTTCCTAACCACTGGTGTGTGCAATCGCACCAGCGTTGTGGCGCACCGCAAACTATTGCCCCAAAGCATAAAAAAAAACTTTAAACGCTGTAACATTAAGTGCGGAGATTTCAGCGCGAAAATTCAAGATGAAATTTTGTCTTTAATGTTCTCGTCTATTAATTATTTATGATATTGACAGTACACTTCCCAGAGTGTAATTTACCAGTC